GGAGGAGGAGGAGGAGGAGGAGGAGGAGGAGGAGGAGGAGGAGGAGGAGGAGGAGGAGGAGGAGGAGGAGGAGGAGTAGGAGGAGTAGGAGGAGGAGTAGGAGGAGGAGGAGGGAGTAGGAGGAGGAGTAGGAGGAGGAGGAGGAGGAGGAGGAGGAGGAGGAGGAGGGGGAGGGGGAGGGGGAGGGGGAAGGGGGGGAGGCGGAGGAGGAGAAGGAGGGGGAGGGGGAGGTATGGGAAGTATGGGGTGTCCAGGAGGCGGAGGCCTGGGCCCCCTCGAGGGGCTGGTGCCGCCTCGCGACCTGCTGCCCGTGACCATTCCCACCTAGCGCCAGCGCGAATCCCAGACCCCCTCGAGTCATGAAAAATCGCGACGGGAGGTTTTTCGCTATTTTGGGCCTCTAGAGGCCCTCACCAGACCTCGGGACCGTCAAACCATTTTTTTTCGTCGCAGCACGGCAGAGGCAGTCCGCACGAGCGTCCAGGCGACTTGGGCTACGGTAGTGCAAATTGTCCTGCATGCAAGAGGAGGGGCGAAGACGAGAGGCGGCCGCGGAGACAAGAGAGGAGGAACGAGAGCACTCTCGCGCGACGAGGCCGCGGGGTGGCCCGCGGGGCGGCCGAGCCGCAGGGCAACCCCTGACAGCGAGCGCGGGGCGGCGTCGCGGGCGCACCCAGGGGAGGAGCCGGCTGCAGCAGTGCAGGGCGGGGCCCAGCAAGCAGGGAGCTGCAGAAGCGGCGGGCCGCCAGGGTGGCGGGCCGGGGGCGCGGTGGGGGGAGGGCTGGTGGTGGCTGCGCCGGAGTGCTGCGGTGGGCTGGGTGTGTGGCCCTGCGCTGGTGCGGCGTGGCGGAGGCGAGGCGCGACCGCGGCGCGGGGGGCGGGAGGCGGCGAGAGAGGCGGAGGGGAGGGGCCAGGCGAGGCCGAGCGGCGGGAGAGAGCCACGCGCCCGGCTGCCGCAGAGCGGTGCGTGGAGGCCACGCAAAAAACCAGATGCGGCGGGGGGAGGGCAGAGATGCAGGGAGATGCGATCGTTCTGATTACCGCTGCTACCGTTAGGTCGGGCATGTCCCCTACATGCGGATGTTGGGCGAAAGATCCAACATACTAAGAACAACACCGAACTATTCAAACAATAATCAACAAATCGTCCCCGCATATATATATATATATATATATATATATATATATATATATATGTCGTAAATGTAGTATACATACATCGCACCTATATATATGACCATTTTCGAATATTCCTCCCGTAGAGGGACAGGCCCGACTTAACGCTGCCTGCACCAACCGCTGGGAGTTTCGATCGGCCGCGCCTTCTCCTGCATGGCAGTGCAGATCTAGCCAGGGGGGCCCGTGCAGAACGCGCCCAAACTTCGCGAGGCGAGCCGAGCCGAGGGCCGGCGCACGCATTGCCGCCGAGGGCAGCGCGGCGCCCCGCGGAAGCGGGAGCCGGGCGGGGGCTCTCGGCGGGCGGCCGGGGGGCCAAAAGGGAGGGCGGCGCAGCGGCGGCGCCTCCCAAGGAAGGAGGAAACACGACTCAGGATGAAGAAACAGGGGTCGTTGTCATCGTCGTCGTCGTCATCGTCGTTGTCGTGGTGGTCGTCGTGGTGGTCGTCGTCGTCGTCGTCGCCGCTGCCGCTGCCGCTGCCGCTGTCGTCGTCGTCGTCGTCGTCGTCGTCGTCGTCGTCGTCGTCGTTTTGGGGGTCACGTCATCAAAAATTTCACGACGTCGGGGGTCTGTGATCCTGACGCGACGGTGGGGCGGGGGGACGGCCCTCAGGTCTGGCCGTTGCGATTTTTCCACTGGGCGTTTTCGCCCGGCTTCGGGCCCAGGGGCCCTCACAGATCGATCCAGCTCGAAGAGTGGGGCAGTAAGGCGGGGTCGGGAGCTCCGCTGGTGGTTTTTCGCGGTGCTTCAATTTCTCCTGCAGCGTCGGAACTCAGAGGGGGTCGGCTATACCCGTAAGAGTGGCCCTTCGCCGGAGTGGCTTCTGGTGCGGGCCCTCCGGGGCCCGCCGATCACTGAGTGCGATGTGACAACTACACGTCCACGTCCACCGTACAGTCCACGTCCACCGTACAGTCGTGCACCGCACATCCGTACATCCGTACATGCGACTCGCCCGGGCCAAGAGTTTATGATCCCCCCGAAACCCTTAATTTTACAATCCCCCCCCTGGATTATGATCGGGGGTATTTGGTCATCAATGTCTTGCGCGCACCAGCGGCCACTCTTACCAGCGATCCTCAAAAGCTGCGCACCAAAGGCCACTCTTACCTATAGGGGCACTCTGCCATGTGGCCGAGCGGTATGCGGGGGGGACACAGAAGCTCGTCTTGCTGCTCTGGCGATGGCGGGTGCTGCCTGGGTGTGTTTGTGTGTGTGTGTGTGTGTGTTTATGTGTGTTTATGTGTGTGTTTATGTGTTTATGTGTGTGTGTGTGTGTATGTGGGAGTTCGGTAGCAAATCATGGGAACCTGGTATACCCTCTTAGATCTGTCTTTAGCGCCGCCTCGCGTCGAGTAGCGTCTGGGAGTCGATGAGATAGCGCCGATTTAGCGTCGGCTAGCGTCGATAAGCGTCGATTCAGCGTAGATTAGCGTCGATTCAGCGTTGATTCGCAAGACCCGACGAGACGGTACGGGAGGCTTCCTTGAGTTGCCACCGAAGGGGAGGAGGGGAGGGGGCCAGCACCGTCACCATTCCCGGACGGCGCTGGTGCGAATCGTGTCGCTACTGCTCGGGGGTCGGTCTTCTTCTCCTCCCGGATGAGGATCGCAGGCGATGTTCTTCCCGGCCCCCGACTTCTCGACAAAAATTGAATCTGCTCAGACAAGGAGGGGAGCCTTGGGATACACTCCAAGAGGGCTATTCGGACGCACCGCTATCGAGGATGGACGCCCCCCTATCGTATGGCCCAGGGTTGGGCCCCCACTTTTTGGCCCAGTCGAAGACTCCTCGGAGCCTGGGATAGGGGTCTACATACCCCCTCTTACTATGGATCTCACAACAATGAGAGGGGAAGATCTACTCTTGTGAGGAGTCTAACGGGCCTCGTCGAGCAAGATTGTCTGGGGGTCTCGGTGCTGGACCCGTTGTTGCACCGCTCCTGGGGGTGGGGGTCCCGGACGCGCTGGGAAAATAGTTTTGGTCCCGCCCCCCGCTACTGTGAGATTTGGAGTAGATCAGGCGGGGGCCCAGACACCCGGCTGCTGAATTCTTTTCGATGCACGGGCCCCCGAGGTCCGGTCCAGTTCCCTAGGGCCGGTTCTTCGTCCTGAGCCGTTTTTTGACGCTATCTATAAGGAAAAAGGAATGGAGGAGAAGGAGGAGGAGGAGGAGGAGGAGGAGGAGGAGGAGGAGGAGGAGGAGGAGGAGGAGAGGAGGAGGAGGAGGAGGAGGAGGAGGAGGAGGAGGAGGAGGAGGGAGGGAGGGAGGAGGGAGGAGGGAGGGAGGGAGGGGGAGGGAGGAGGGAGGAGGAGGAGGGAGGAGGGAGGAGGGATGATGATGATGATGACGACGATGATGATGATGATGATGATGATGAGATGATGATGATGATGTGATGATGATGATGATGATGCAGATGCTGATGATGATGATGATGCTGATGCTGATGCTGATGCTGATGATGCTGATGATGCTCATGATGATGATGCTGGATGATGATGCTGCTGCTGATGATGATGATGAATGACGATGCTGATGCTGCTGCTGATGATGCTGATGCTGATGATGATGATGCTGATGCTGATGCTGGTGCTGATGCTGATGATGCTGCTGCTGATGATGATGCTGATGCTGATGCGGATGCTGATGCTGATGATGATCATGATGATGATGCTGATGATGCTGCTGATGAGGCTGATGATGATGACGATGCTGCTGCTGCTAGTGATGATGATGATGATGATGATGATGATGATGATGATGATGATGATGCTGATGCTGATGCTGATGCTGATGCTGATGCTGATGCTGATGCTGATACTGATGATGCTCATGATGATGATGCTGATGATGATGCTGATGATGATGACGATGCTGCTGCTGCTGATGATGATGCTGATGCTGCTGATGATGATGATGATTATTATGGTGGTGGTGGTGGTGGTGGTAGTGGTGATGATGATGAGGATGAGGACGAGGATGATGATGATAATGATGACGATGATGATGGTGATGATGGTGATGATGATGATGCTGATGCTGATGCTGATGCTGATTTTGATGATGATGCTGATGCTGATTATGATTATGATGATGATGATGATGATGATGATGATGATGATGATGATGATGCTGATGATGATGATGATGATGATGATGATGATGGGGATGATGGTGATGATGGTGATGATGATGATGCTGATGCTGCTGCTGATGATGACGATGACGATGACGATGATCATGACGATGACGATGACGATGACGATGACGATGATTAATGATGATGATGATGATGATGATGATGATGATGATGATGATGATGATGATGATGATGATGATGATGATGATGATGATGATGATGATGATGATGATGATGATGATGATGATGATGATGATGATGATGATGATGATGATGATGATGATGCTGATGCTGATGCGGATGCGGATGATGATGATGATGTTGATGATGATGAGGAGGAGGAGAGGAGGAGGAGGAGGAGGAGGAGGAGGAGGAAGAGGAGGAGGAGGAGGAGGGATGGAGGGATGGAGGAGGAGCAGGAGGAGGGGCCTCGGGTAGCCCGCCAGGCCTCCGTCGTCCTCAGCGCCTGTTCGACGATGCTGACCGCCGTGACCTTCCCCACCACCGCCTTTCTGAGCATCGAGGCGGGCCCCTCCTCCTCCTCCTGCTCCTCCGCCTCTTCCTCCTCCTCCTCCTCCTCCTCCTCCTCCACCTTTTTCTGTCAGGGATTCCGTGCAAGCTGCGCCCACCCATCCTCCTCTCCTCCTCCTCCTGCTCCTCCTCTCCCTCCTCCTCCTTCTCCTCCTCTCCCTCCTCCTCCCGCCCTCCTCCGCCTCCTGTCGTCCCCCCGTCAACCTAGGAGGCATAGGCTGCCTCCGAGGTTGGCTCCTTTTTGCCCCTGTCGTTGATAATCGAGATCGCTCGCTCTATATTCCTATAATTATACATCCTGTAAGGAAAAATCCCCCCCGGATGGCCCCCCCCCCACATACCTTCTTGGACGGCCGCCCTTGGCCCCCGGGCCCCTTTCCAGCGGACTTCCAAGCCCTCCAGGTGACCGAACGATGCGCGAAGCGCCCCCCAGTGGCCCAAGACGCCCGAGGACACCGGCCCAAGATGCCGCAGGTGATACCGCGACCGCCCCGAGGCGACCCAAGACGGCCCAAGAGGCACCCAAGAGGCCCCCCAAAAGGGCCCCGCGAGGCCAAAATAGCCCCATTCCCATCGTAAAAAGTACATTCTCAACATATTCGCGTCTAGGCCTTTCATAACGTTCAAGTCGGCCCAAGAGACTCCCAAGACAGCCCAAGAGGCTCCCAAGAAGGCCCCAAGACGCCCAAAGAGAGCCCAAGAGTGCCCCAATGGCCCCCAAGACAGCCCAAGAGACCATCTGGACGGGCTGCACAGGCGTCCCAGAAAACGAAAACCAAGTTCAAATTTCAAGCCTTCGGCTTCAAGAGGCCCATAGGATGCCCCCAGAGGCCCCCAAGAGGCCCCACGGGGCCCCAAGAGGCCCTTACGCGGCCCCCAAGAGGCCCCCAGGCGGCCCCCCAAAAACTCCCATGAGGCCCCCAGGACGCCCCAAAAAGCTTCCAAGAGTCCCCTCCCCGGACGCCCCGAGCCACTCCTGGCGATCGCGAGGCTTCTGACAAGGAGAGGCAACGAATGGGCTTCCTGACGCGCTCTTGGGCCGTTTTCGAGCATAAGGTGCCCCAATCAAGGCCCAACAGGTCCCAGAAACGCCCAAGGATAGCTTCCCCGGGGTTCCCAAGAGACCCTCCAGAAACAACTGACCCGGAGACGCACCCAACCCTTTGTACACAAGAGGCGACTATACCCAGGACCGTTCATTTCCAACTTACGCCTTGAAGGATTCGCAGTATCCTTGAACGCTTCGCCAAAGAACGTGAGGCCGCAGACCAGTGTTCCCCATTCACGGCATCACTCTTGCGACTCATATCATCGGAAAGAGGACGATCACGATCTGACAAAGGAGCAATGACGAGGGGGCCACGAACGTTGCGACAGCTTCGCTGTTCGAAGCCCCCCGGGACGGCGAGGCCTCATTCTGGTCCGCGGATCACGCCTCCCCGCTGGGCCCGCCAGCGGCCCACGAAGGTAGCGACAGTTCCGCACATCGCAACCCCCCACTCGTTCCCTCGTTCCTTTCCCAGTTTATCCTTTTCCTCTTCCTCCTGTTCTGACTCCCTCCTCGTCCTATCTCGCCCTCCTCGTGTCATCCTCCTCCCCCGCTGTCCTCTCCTCTCTCTCTTTCCCTCCTCCTTTCCTCCTCACCTTCCCCGACCGTCTCTCTCCCTTTTTCCTCGCCCTCCTCTCCTCTTCTTCCCTTCATATCATTTCCTCCTCTTCTTTCCCGATCGTCTCACTGCAATGCTCTGCCCTCTCAGAGGGCTACTGATTCCCAAGAGAAGCGCGACGACCATGCAGCATGCAGTCTGTTTGGCCCGGGGGACGTCCAGAGACAAGTTTCGGGTGCGTCTTTGCGGAGGTGACCGCGACCCCCCTCGTGGTCACCGTTTCCTTTAACCCCTCGTCGGTGACTATGGCCTCGTCGCGGTATGTCGCCGTCTCTCAAACACAGGAATGCTTATGATCCGTCCGGGAATTATGACGGACCGCCACCCCTCTCACGGTCATCATGTGCTTGCAGACGTCATCCATTCACCAAGTGTTTGGGTGCGCACGGCCGCAGGACCAAGACTGAGGCGAAGCGAAGCGAGCCCTCAAATCTTGTATATATATATATACACAAACTCTCCCTCCTCCTCCTCCTCCTCCTCCTCCTCCTCCTCCTCCTCCTCCTCCTCCGCCTTCTCTCCCCGCCCCTGGGGGCGGCGCTGGGGCGCGGACTGCCGGCAGTGCTCTGCGTTGAGTCGGGCCTGACCCTCTACAGGAGGAGTATCCAAAAATAGTCAACCAATAGTTTGGGGATGATCTTTTGACGAGTTTCGTTTATTTCGGGCATTATTTTGCAACTTTTCATTTCTCGTCCAAAGTCCGCCTGTAGGGGACATGCCCGACCTAAGCCCAAGGCTCGTTTCGCTTCCTTCGATTCGATTTGACTTCGATGGCTGCCGATTCCGATTCGATTTGACTTCGGATTCCGATCTGGACTCCAGTTCTTCACTGGAGGCCAACTGGCCCGCCGATTTCCGCCGATTCGGCTTCTCCCGACTCGGGTGCCGATGTCGGCCCATCCGATTCATGTCGATCGCCGATCCGACTTGTCGATTCGACTTTCCTGCCGGCCCTCGCGAGACGAGAGCGAGGGCGTCGTCTCTCGAGGGGGGATGCCGTCGGGCCGAGGTACAGTTGCGTGCAGTATCTCTGGCCATGTCCACTGCAGCTTGGAGTTTCGGGCCCCTTTCCCCAGAAACCCGGGGCGCACTGGACATGGATAAAGAACTGCCCCCTAGTTAAAAGGTTAGATGTTTATCAATATCCAGTGCGCATCGGCCTTGCGGCGCCCCTTCCAAGAAAATCCAAGACGCACTGGATATGGATGCGAATCTTGCCCGCAGCAGTAGACACCCATGCCAAGAAGCACCCTTCTTGTCTCCATGGTGTACTGGGTTTCTTGGGTTCGATGGTTCTGCTATGGAGTACGTGACGTTCCCATACAATTCATGCGCGTCCTTGGGGACTGCCGCGCAACGCTTCGGCAGGCCAGGGGAAAATGCACTGCAAGGCGAACTCGTATCATTGGCAAACAAAATTAGCCTGGCGAGGGACCCAACCATATGCAGTTGTGAATACCGTCTTTGTCAGCAACGCATTCCGTGGGGCTCCCTATGGGGCCACGAAGCGCTGTCCTGGGTGGGGGAGACGCACGCGAACACCCCCACTGGGGCCTTCGGTGGAGCTCCCTATGGGGCCACGAAGCGCTGTCCTGCGTGGGGGAGACGCATGCGAACACCCCGATTGAGGCCTTCGGTGGAGCTGTCTATGGGGCCACGAAGCGCTGTCCTGGGCGGGGCAGACGCATGCAAACACCCTCTATGGGGCTACGAAGCGGTGTCCTGGGTGGGGGAGACGCATGCGAACACCCCCACTGGGGCCTTCGGTGGAGCTCCCTATGGGGCCACGAAGCGCTGTCCTGGGTGGGGGAGACGCATGCGAACACCCCCACTGGGGCCTTCGGTGGAGCTCCCTATGGGGCCACGAAGTGCTGTCCTGCGTGGGGGAGACGCATGCGAACACCCCCACTGGGGCCTTCGGTGGAGCTCCCTATGGGGCTACGAAACGTGTGAGAGGTGTGCCGAGAGCAAAGGCAAGGAGGGGGAGGAGGGAGGAGGGAGGAGGGGGAGAAGGAAGGAAGGAAAGAGGAGAGACGCGGGGCGCTGTCTCTTAAAAACGAGGACCCAACACCACAGGATGGTTGGGAAAAACAGATCCATGTGCGTCCTTGGGTTCCCAGCGTGGGGTCATAGTGGACGGTTTCTCGTGGTCGAGCTCCTGCTGCATACGAGCGAGGTCGACTCGGGGAGGGGGCCCTGCTGCTCTTCGTGCTTGGCGGATGCTCGTGTGCACACAGGGGGAGGGCACCCTCGAAGGTGCCTCGGGCTGGGCCGGCGGAGGGCCTCGTGCTCTCGAGAGGTGCTCTCCCGTCCTGGGTTTATGTCGGGCGTGTCCCCCTACAGGGGGATTTTCGACGAAAAACACAAAATACCCCAAATATGCCCCAAAAAGGTAGAAAAACAATCCAAAAATAGTCCCCAGGGTATCTTTAGACTATTGGTTGATTATGTTTGGGGTATTTTTTATTTTTCGTCGAAAATCCCCCTGTAGGGGGACAGGCCCGACTTAATCCTAGGTCCGACTGTAGGCTCCTTGATGTTTGGTAGGCTACGGAGGAGGAGGAGGGGGATGGAGGAGGAGGGGGAGGAGGGGGATGGAGGAGGAGGAGGAGGAGGAGGAGGAGGAGGAGGAGGAGGAGGAGGAGGAGGAGGAGGAAGAGGAGGAGGAGAAGGAGGAGGTCCGACTGTAGGCTCGTTGATGCTTGGTACTTCAGGCTTTCGGGCTTGTTCGTCGGTGTTCGGTGGTTGTTGAGCCTCGGGAGGCCAGCAGCACGGCTTGCGCGGTGGTGTTGACTTCAGCATATCGTTTGATGATGTGGTGCGCGTGTGTGCCAGCCCGAGGAGAGCGGGAGGACGATCATTCGCATCAGGGTGAAGCGCAGCTGTCAGGACTGCTGCTTGGTTGGTGGTAGTGCATTTCCCTCCTCCGCCGAGGTGGGCCATTGAAGGGCCGCTCTACCAGGAAACGGTGCACATTCTGGGAAGGTGGTTCGACGAAGTCCTGAGTAGTCGCTGCTGCCCAATAGTGTACACGGTACACGGACGTGCACGACGGCATCGGCTTCAGCCGCAAGTCTTTGACGTGGCAGTGGGTGGAAGACGGTGTAGTGACGGAGGAGGTGGCAACAAGGGAGGCTCGTCGCTTCGGGCGTGGAGAGACCTCGCTTTCGAATGCTGCCAAACACCGCCTGATTGCGGCCAGCGCTCGCTCTGGAGTCTGCCCGACGTATTTCGGTACCAAAGACGGCCGTTCCATGATCGATTTCATGTTCATTCCATGGCCGATGTGATAGTGCATTGTCGCATGCTACGAGGATTGGGCGCAC